TGATACGGAGTGTGGAGAATAGTGTGTGGTGTATGGCATGTGGATCATAGAAAATGGCTTAAGAAGTGAGAATGGCAGTAGGCATGGTGGCACATGCCTGTCATTCCACCACTCAGGAGACTGAAGCAGTAGGATCGTCGTGAGTTTAAGACCAGCCTGGGCTACACAATGAGTTCAAGACCAGCCTGAACTACATAGTGAGACCCTGTCCCAAAAACAAACAAAAGGGCCAGGGATGTACCACAACCAGTGCCTGCCTGGCAAGAACAAGGTCCTGAGTTCAATTCCCAGTACTAGAAAAAAAAAAAAAGAAGTGGGAATAGCAAGGTGGGTGTGGTGGCACACCCCTGTAATCCCAGCACTCAAAAGGCTAATGCAGGATAATTTCTATGAGTTTGAGGCCAGTCTGGGCTACATAGTGAATTCAAAACTAGCCTAAACTGCACAGTGAGACTGTTTCAAAGGAAAAAAAGTGGAAACGGCAAGCCAGGCATGATGGGTCACATCTGTGATCTCAGCACTCAGGAGGCTGAGGCAGAGGATCACTGTCAGTTTTAGGCCATCCTGGGCTACACAGTAAATTTAAGGCCAGCCTGAACTACACAGCAAGACCCTGTCTTAAAAAAAAAAAAGTGAAAATGGCATCTTGAGTGTAGGATATAGAATATGGAGAATAGGAGATTCAATACTCCATGTGGGTTATGGAGAGTGGAATATGAACAATGGTGAAGGAAGTTGGAGTATGCAGAACAAAGCAACTAGGATGGAGTACAGGTAATGGAGCAGGAACAACAGAGAATGGAGTACAGAATCTGGTGGAAGGTGAATGGAGTATGGAGATGGGTTATCCTGCATGGTGAATGAAGAATGTAATATAAAACATGGATAATTTCAATATAATGGAGTACAGAATGTCAATAAGAGAACATAGCGGGAGAATATACGATGGCATGTAGAAATTGTGGGAGTAGAGAATGTATGTGGAAATTGGAGATTACTGGATGGAAAATAGAGAAAGGAGAATAGAGGATGAAAATGGAATATAGACTACGGGGGAAGAATTAAAGTATATAGTGTAGAGGACAGAAAATAAAGAAGGGAGTAGGTACATGGGGAGTGGCATGCAGAATGGAGATAGGCAATAGAGCCTGAAGGTTAGAAAGTAGAGCTAGGTGTGGACAATGAAGTGCGGAGTGTGGAGAATGAAGAATGCAGTATGGAGTATGGCATAAGGGGTTGGGGATTTGCATACAAACGTAGAGAATGAGAATGGTTATGCAAAGCATAGACTAGAATGTGGAGGATGGGAATATAGAATATGGTTAATGGAGTGTGAAGAACAGAGAATGAAGAATAAAAATGGAGAATGGAGCATTGAATGTGAAGAACAGAGTATGGAGAATGCTAAATGGAAAATCAGGAGGGGATGATAGAATTTTTAAAAATAATGTATGTAAAAATGGAGAATCAAGAGTAGAACATGGAGATTGGAGTACAGTGTATGGATAATTAAGAGTGGAGAAAAGAGTATGGAAAATAAGAGGGAAATAGGATAATGGGGGACGGCATATGGAGACAGGATACGGAGAATGGGTTGTGGATGTGTAGGTCTGGAGTATAGAATTAAAGAACGGAGAATGTACATAGGGAATGTAATATAGAGAATAGAGTGTGGGGAGTGGGATATTGAATACGTAAGGCAGAATGAAATGTGGAAACCTGAGAATGGAATGTGGAGGGTGTTGAATGCAGACTGTTGTTTGGAGACTGTAGTGTGAAGTGTAGACTGTGGAGAACGAAGCATAGAATATGAGAGCTGAAATAGAGCATGGTGTACACAGTACAGAGAATGAAATATGGAGACCATGTCATTGAATATGGAGTGCAGATAACAGAAAATGGAGCACGTGAAAGAAGCAAGAGGCATGGGGAATAAAGAATGAAGAGTGGAGAAAGGAACATGGAGAACGGAGAGTGTACAACGGAGATTGGAATGAGGAGCTGGAGAATAGAACGTTAAGAAACAGAGCGTGGGGACTGAGGATTTAGCTCAGCGGCAAAGCGCCTGCCTGGCAAGCGCAAGGTCGTGAGTTCGGTTCCCGGTGCCGGAGAAAAACCAAAAAAAAGAAACAGAGCGTGGAGAACAGTGTGTGGATACAAAGGAAGTATAAAGACTGGAGTGTGAAATATATATAAAATCATGGGGTTGGGGATATAGCTCAGTGGTATAAGTGCCTGCCTGGCAAGTGCAAGGTACTGAATTCAATTCCCGTACCAAAAAAAAAAAAAAAAGGGCAAAAACATGTGGCATATAGCATAGGGGTAGAGGTACATAGGAAAAACACAGGACGAAAATCCAGTGATTAGCACTGTAAAATCATCACATGCTTATCTGTGGCTGACGATTGTAAGATCATCACATGCATATCATGTACCGTGTCCTTGAGAAAATGTACCCTACTGTACCCTTACAAAAATGTTACATTTACCTATGCTGACATTGCCCCTTCCCAGAAACAAAGGCCAAGAGTGGCCTGGACCACCAATCAGTGAAACAGTCTTTTTTTTGTTTGTTTGTTTTTGTTTTTGTCTTTTTGAGGCAGGGTCTTACTATGCAGTTCAGGCTGGCCTTGAGCTCACTTTGTGGCTCAGGCTGGTCTCGAACTCGCGACAATCCTCCTGCCTCAGCCTCCCAAGTGCTGGGATTACAGGTGTGTGCCACCATGCCTGGCCACAGTCATTTTTAGAAACCAGCTCACCGCTGTAAGTATGAAGCACATCTTACACTTACTGAGCATCTTGAGCAGGATGGTCCCTATGTTATAGCATCATTCTGCTGCTAGTTTCCCTTCTGCTCTCTCCACACTTGCCACACTTTAAATAAACTTTTACTCCCCACTATACCAGTCTTGACTCTCCTATTTTCTACTAAGAATCCCTCTCCTTTATTCTTCTCTGGAGTGACAACAAGGACCCAAAGAGAGGTGGTCACTCAGAGACACCTTGGCCAGATGTAACAGTAGAAAGTGATGTATAGATAACACAGTATTGAGTGATGGGGAATGATGTATAGATTACAGAAGTGGAGCATACAGTATGAAGAAAGAAGAATAAAGAAGAATAATAGGAAAATAAGAATGAAAATGAAATGTGATGCCTGGAGTACGGAAATGAAATATGGAGTATGGAGAATGGACCGTGAGGTGTGAAAAATGAACAAAAAGCCTAAAGAATGAAGGATGGAGTGGAGAACAGAGAAAGAGGTTGACATGATTATGGAGCATGTAGAATGGTGCTGCAGTGGAATGTCAAATGGGGAATATAGTGTTGGAGCATGGTGTATGTAGTACGGAGAATAGAAAATAGTGTAGTGATTCAGTAAGGATTATAAGAATGGATAATGCAGATGAAAACGGAACATAGAAAATGAAGAGTGATGTATGAAATACTACACGCAGTGCAGAGATACGGATACAGAACATGAAGAATGAAGATGGGGATACAAAATGAGGACAATGGCGTATGGAGAATAGCAAGGAATATCAGTAATCGAGATGGGGAACGGTGAGTCATGGGTGGAATGGGTTATGGGGTTAGGACAAAGGTTTATGGAACATGGGAAATATATGTAGAGAATGCAGTATGGAGAAATTAGGTTAGAAAATAAAGCACAGAATATGGCATAATGGTACTGAAGTATGAGATCTGGAGAAGAGACTAGAATATACCAAATAGAAAATGGAGTATGAGATATGGAATATAGAGAATATATAATGGAACAAGGTGAATAGAGAGAAAATAAATCAGAACTTAAAGTGGACAAAAGACTATGGTGTATAGGGTCAGTGATTAGAAAATAGAGTATACAGTGGATACTGTGGATACTGAGCATGAGGAATGGATTATGATGTTCAGAGTGGAAATGCCACATGGCGAGTGATATAAGGAGAATGGAAAATAGAGAATGGGACGTGAAGAATGAGATAAGGAAGGTGAAGAATGAAGTATATTAAAGGGAGTACAAAGAATGAAATATAAAGAATGGAGTATGGGAAAAGGAGAGTGTCAAATGGAGGGTAAATCACAGGAATAAGGTATAGAGTGTCATGACTGGAGTGTAAAATTGAGCAGGGCATATAAAAATGGAGTATGGAAAAAGTAAAGAGGGAATATTGAGAACAAAGGTTGAAGTATGAAGAATGTAAAATGGGCTATGGTGACTAACATAAGGAACATGGAGGATGAAGAACGGAGTGCAGGTTGTGAAGGATGGAGAATGGCATGCAGATAATGAATAAAGTAGAATATGGAAGATGCATGAGTGTTCATAAATGGCACCTAGCTAAGGGATTATAGTGCAGGGAACATGGACAATGGATAGTAGCATGTAAAGTATAGGTCACACTGTATAGGTTTTAGAGCATGATGAATAGGATATGGAAAAGAATGAGAACAATGTGTAGAGAATGAGGAATGGAGAATATAGAGAAGAACAGAGTGTGTGGAATGGAAGACAGGGAAGCAGCAATGGAAAATGGAGTATGGTGACTGCAGACTAAAGAGTGGAGTGTGGAGAACAAAGATGAAATATGGACTGAAGACAGAGCGTGAAGAGTGAAGGATGGAGGGCATTGGATGGAGGATGGAGGTGGAAAGTAGAGGGCAGAGAGCAGAGGATGAAGCATGGAGACTGAAGGGCAGAGAGTGGAGGGTAGAAGGTGGAGGGTGGAGTGGAAGATGGCAGATGGAAGACCGAGAGTGGAGAGTGGAGGGTGGAGGGTGGAGAATGTGGAGGAGACAGTGGTCTTCTGCTCCCACTGCGCAGATCTGGCCCAACTGCTCCACCTTCACTTCTGAGGACCTCGGTTACAGGCTAGGCACAGTGTCAGGCCCTTCCTTTGGGCCACATATTTGGCAGGTACTCTGGGGACACGTGCAGTGCTAGCAGAGCTCACGGGTAATTACAGGATCTTTGCTGTCATGCTATAGGATTTACTTACCTCCTGGTGCTGGGCTCCATGCTGTGTTCCTTGCTTGTATTTCTGAGAATGTCCGGGATGGACTGGATGCTCTCACAGGCTTTTTACCTTTGTGGCTGAGCCCTTAATGTGTGTCACTCGTTCTTCCCTGGGTGTACATGTATCTGAGGGCCATGAGCAAAAGAAGTCCTTAGTCTCCCCGTCTGTTCATCAGGAGACAGCCGTGTCTCAGGGGTGTTGGGCAACTCAGGAGAGCTCCCAGCAGAAGGGCTGTGCATACCTGGGAGCTCCCAGGGACCGGGGATGCCTGGGTCCCTCAGGGCCAGGTGCACAGCTCAGAGCCCTCTCCTCTCTCTAGCAGCCTCTGCAGAAAGCACAGGAGCATCAAGAGGCTTCTGGGCTGCCCTTCCCCACAGCAGGAGCCATCAAGAAAGCCTGGGAACAATGTGCTGCCCTGGAGTGGCCTCCCAGGTGGTCCTTCCCCAGGCCTTACTTATCCGCAACCTCTCACCCTCGAAGTATGGCTGTAAGAGCCTTCTGGCCCCGATCCTGGCCGCAGCCATCTTTGCTCCCTCCCCTCCCCCACCTCAGCCTCTGCTCCTCCTGGCTTCTCCTTCACCTTGGGCCTCCTTGTATCTGCCTTCTGGGTATTTTCCATAAGCCAAATTCTGTTGGAGGAGAATGAAGATTTGCTGATTTAAGAAGAATTTCAAGTGGCTCACATTAGCAAACAAAGGAGGCCCCTCATAGGCCCCTCCATAGACCCAAACACCCACAGGACTGAGCCTCTCCACCGGTTCCAACCTGGGCCATCTCCCCACCCCACCCTTGCCCCAACCACTACTCTGCCTCAGCCCCAGCCCTGGTCTAGAAAGCTGAGCCCCACAGAAACCCGCCTGCCTCTTATCCCATCCCACCCACCGCTGCCCACCAGGCCCTGGGGCAGCAGGCTGGGCTGACTGACACGAGCAGGTGGCAGCAGTGGCCTCCTCCCCACAGCAGCCCCAGTGAGGGGCTCAGGCTGTCCCTCCAGCTGCCTGAGGCAGCGCGTCCCAGGGGGCTGCTGTGAGCCGTGGCCCCCAGACGAAGGTGAAGGCCACAGGGAGGGGCATTGCACAAGCTGGGAAGCAAAGGTTAGAGAAAAGCAAATTTGATAAGGCAGCTTTTGATCACAAAAAGGCTCCCCTCCCGGTCTCCAGGCCTCGTGGCCAGCAGGGAAACCCGCCAAGTCTACTCACCTATGTCTGTCTATCAGGCCGTTCCTGTTCTCCCACCTACACCCAGCCCCTGCCTTGTCTTGGTGCCATTCCCCCGTCCCCAACTCCACCAGGGTTCTCTGCCCCGGCCATACTCTGCTCAAGGAAGATACAGAATGGAAAAGACTGGGACCCAGTACGTCCTCCTGGCTACTCCGGGCTGCACGGGAACCAGACTCAAGCCTTCCCCCTCTCAGATCAAACCACCAGGCTGGGGAGCCCAGGTCTGCCAAGAGGAGTAGAACTTCTTCCATCACTGGGCCCTGCCTCAATTCCATGCAGTGCTGGGATCACAAATGGCACCTCCAGCAATCCAGGAGCTGAGAGCACATGGAGAAACTGAGGCCTGGGAGGACATGCCGGGAGTGCAGAGCACTTCTTGGTCTCAGAAACATAACCTAGAGGTGACCGTAGTGATTCAGAGACCTGGGTGTGGGCCCTGACTCAGCCGTAGCCACTGGCATTCTCTGCCTCAGTGTCTCTCCGCTGTTCTGCCCCACAGGTAGCAGAGGCTGAGAAGCCAGAGTCTATTGGGTCCTTTAGGTCACAGCTGTGCCATATCTACTTTGGGGCAGACCTTTAGAGAAGGGAAGGTAGCTGTTGGTATGGGCTGGTGGAGAACCTGAGGTCTGGGAGTGGTGATGTGGGGTCAGGCCCAAGGCTGACCCTGTCTGATCCTTCAAGTCCCTCCTTGCTTCTGGTTTTGCTTCTGTCTTTGCTGTGCAAACTTCCCTTGGGAAAGTCACCTCAGCCCCGAGCCTGGCCACTGCTGGGAGGAAGGGATTAGGGAGTGTCCTGCAGTAGGACACATAAAAGTCAGCAGTGAGTGACAAGCCCAGCAGTGATGGGACAGCTGGCTCCCCTGGGCAGGCCAGACCTGGGGTGTGACCCTTGGGGGACTCTTTGGGGAACTGGAGGTGAAAGGTAGATGTTTCCACTTTCCCATGTAGCACCTGGCTAGGTTGCCATTGCTCAGCAATCCTCCATGGCTCCCCAGTGCTGGGAAGGGAGGGTGGAGGTTTGTCTCTGCCACAGACCACAGAAGGCTTCTCTAGCTACCCTGTTCAGTTGCCTCTTCTAAACAGTCCCTGGGTGGGTGCCTCTGCTGACCCCCACACTGCTCCTGTACAATCCCCCCATCTACCTCCTAAACATCCCTGGACCCCCTTGGCCTATCCACCCCTGCCCCATTTGCCTCTCAGTTCTGCCACTGAGTCTTACCACCACCCCCTCCCTGCCCAGCTGCACCACCCCTACCCCGGCAGCGGCCTCCAGCTAGCTCTGAGGCCCTGAACACCAACAGCGTCTGTCCAGTCCCAGCCTCTCCCAGGCTCCTGGGCAGTGGTCTCCTCCTTCCCAGGCTTTCCCAGGGCTCCCAGCTCCCTTTGCTGCTTGTGAGCCTGAGTCCCAGCTGCACTGCCCCTGTCCCCCTCCCCACCCAGCAGCTGCCCCCAGATGTACAGACTGACCAGGGCTTCTTGTCTTGGGTGGGCCTAAGATCATCATCTCCAAAGCCTGGCCCTGGAGAGGTAGAGAGAGCCGGAGGGGAGTGAAAGACGGTCAGAGGCAAGAGGGACTGCAGGCTTCGGGGTGCTCATCGGCAACCCTGGCAGGGTAGGCTGGCTAGTCTCTGGGAGGATTTGGAGGAGCCTCACAGAGCTAGTTCAGTCTTGGAGGCTCCAGCAGTTAAGATTACCTCGCCACGGGGTGGATATGTTGTTGTCTCCTGCGCCCCCGTGAGGTCAGCGGTCAGCATGACACCCATTTGGCCACTGAGGTGGGGTTTCTGGGGGTGCAGGCAGGAAGTGACCCCAGCACCCGTCCCTGCTGCACCCAAAATTGGGTCCTTCCTTCTCCCCAGGTCCTCCAGGAGCATGAGAAGAAGGTGCATCGCTCCAGGTCCAGTTCAGCCTCCCCAGGCCGCAGCAAAAGGACTGCTGCCCCCGCCTCTGCTTCCTTTCCTTCTGTCTGACAGAGTTCCTATCCAGCCCACAAAGGCTCCCTGATCTTGGGCCCACCCATATTCCAGCCAGACCAAGTGGAGCCCTGAATCTGGCCTCACACTGAGCTCTCAGCTGGAGCCTGGGCCTCAGGGCTCCATGGCCCTGCCTGCAGCTCTCATCTTTGCTAAAGGTTTTGCGAACACAGGGTCCTACACTGAGCTTGTGTTCACACTGTCAGCATGTGAGCCCCTAAAGCCAGAGCCGTGGGAGGGAGGGTCTCCCAGAAGACTGGCCACTGAGATCCCCCAAGAGGCTGACAGGAAACTGTAGAAAAAAAGAGCCCTGCCAGACCCCCAGCACCCTGTAGCATGGAGGCCCCAAGGACTCTCCTGCTCACCTGGCCTCTATACAGGGACATCCCATGTCCACACCCACTGGCCATATCACCTCACTGGCTGCAGAGCTGTGTACTCCAGAGAGGACACAGGCCCCAGGTGCTGAGGGCTTCAGGGATGCCCCCAGCCCAGCGATAGGCCAGGCAGTCCTTCTGAGAAACCCAAAGCCAGAGCTTTATCAGACAGCAAGTTGCAGTCCGAGACAAGAGGAGGACCAGGGCTGGGTGGACACAGGGTTTTGGATGAGTTAGAGTGCTGGTCACACGTGTCTGATACCATGAGCTCCCCCTGGCATGTCAACATGGGGACACAGGAGCTCCAAATGAGTGGTGACAAGGACCTTGGGGACCTTGGCCATGCTCCCGCCTTCTGGTTCATGTTATCCAAGCACCTTCCCCTCTTGAAGGTCTCATTATGGAAGAGGAAAGGGCTGACTTGCTCTCTTACTGAAGCCTCTTCTATGGAAGATGACTGTGGGTTCGGCTGGGGACACCCTAGAGACCCCTGAGAAGCTAGGGATTGGAAGCTACCTCCTCATGGCTTAGGAGAAGCTCTGTCTCCTTCCCCACCCCCAGAGCAGAGCACCGGATGGGCCCCCATGGACTTATGTCCTCAGATCTGATGGGGCCAGAGCCAGGGCAGAGGCAGGGGCGCGCGGCGAGCCCAGCTGGGACAGCAAACAGGCCTTTGGGGTCTCTCCTTTCCCTTGCCTGGCCGCTGCAGGGGGCTGGCTGGGGCCAGGGCCAGGGAAGACTTCCTCGATTTATCTCTGCAGCCGGCAGCCAGCCCCACGCCTGGAATCCGGGGTTAGGCTGAGGTTTGCCCGCCCCGCTGTGAGCAGCTTGTAGCTGGACAGAAGGCCCAGGCTGAGCGGGGCCGAGAGAGCACTAAGGGCATGCAGGGTGGGGGTGGGGGCTGGAAGAGGATGCTGGGAGTGCCTCATTGGACCTGAGTGAGTCTGGGGACCGTGCAAAGGCAGTTCTTCCTGCAGATAGACTGAGGACTGGGACAGGTGCCTGGCAGCGCCTGCCACAGCGAGTAGGTGAGAGGTGCTCACTCTGGGAGAAGGATACAGGCAGAAGGCGGAGACTTAGCAAGGGGCAGTGCCATGCAGCCAGGGAGGAGGCAAGAGCCAAAAGGCTTCCAGCAAGAAGGAAGGGAGTTCTGGGGGTCTGTGAGTCTCGTCTACCTTTAGTGTTGGGCAGCGACCAGAAGCAGCTGAGCTCTAAGACTGCCTCAAGGAATAAGATCCCCTAGCACTTGGTGGAGAGAGGGAGTCCTAGGGTCTCGGGAGGTACGGGCTGCACTGGCCAGGTGGCAATCTCTGGAGCCTTTCTATAACATGACTGGTTTTCCCATATGGCTGCCCAGGGAGAGCCAGGCCATGCTGACCAGGTAGGGTCCTTGGTGGTCTTCATGGTCCCACAAGGTGATCCAGACCTATGCTGCCCACTCATCACTGCCCCATGGAGGCTATGTAGGCCAGTAGCCTCCTCTCTAAGGAGACCTGAGTCCCTGCCCAGGCTCCTGAGCGTGCAGAACTGGAAGCCAGAAGAGCAGACTAGACCCCTGCCCTGCAAAGGGAGAGGGAATTCTAGATCCCAGCAGTGAAGGTCACATGTCAGTACCTGGCCTTGGGAAAAGAATGTGTCACAGGCCCCAGGGACCTGGCTTCCTGGAGTTGATGGCCAGGAAGGTCTGAAGGCTCCCCATTAGAGCAGGACTTGTAGGCCAGGCTGCAGCCAAGGGAGGCAACAAGTCATAAATGGTTCCAGGGAGAAGGACCCTAGAACAACAACCAGGCCAATATCTTCTCTGGGGATCTGGGTGCCCCAGACAACACTCCCTCCTCCAGGGCCAGGCACTTGAGCTGCAAGTCGGAATGGCTGGTCACACACACAGCACCACCTAGTCCAGCTCAAGGCCAGTAGACCCAGCTCTAGTGCTTCCTGAAGCCGATGGACCCCACCTGCCCCAGACTTACTGTCTTGGCCACTAAAGCCACGCTGATTAGACCCAGTTATGGCTAAATCAACACAAAATTCTGTTTTAAGGACCTACCTTCCCTGAGGGAACACAGTTCTGGGCACTTCTCTCTTCCTGATGTCCCACATTTGGGCAGGACAGGGCATCTGTGGCAAGGGTCGAAGCCTGTCTCTACGCTGGGCTGCAAGCAAGGTAGATGTTATTGAGTGAACCCTTAGTGCTCTGCATGTCCCTTTTTTACCTTTGTGCATGCCAAGTCCTGTCACTTGCAAGGCTTTTGGACCTATACGCCCCACAACTCACATACCTGCTCCAAGGGTCTCCCTCCCCATCTGGCCACCATGGACATCTGAGCTACCCCCTCTGAATATATTCACAGTGGAAGGTTCTCCCTGCCCTCACAGCTCCTTCCCAGAGAGCCTCATAGCCCCTGGGAAGTGTGCTTGCCCCACTGCCACTCCTACAGCCCTCCCTATAGCCCCTGCAGAGTCTTCCCTCCCACAGCAGCTGGGATGGCTCTCATAGGGCACAGGACCAGCGAGGAAGGAGACATGACCTGTGTGAAAAGGTCTTTTGAGAGCTGGGGTCAGGATGCCTGTCCCCGGGAAGGCAGCTGCCCAGGCCCCTGGAACCGTGACACCTGGGCTCAGTCCACTGTGATGGGGGTGGGGGTGGGAGGATCAGGCTTGGGGCTGAGTCAGTGGGAAGCAGAAGCATGCTGCAGCTGCACATGGTGCCCAGGATGTAGAGCCTCTAAAGGGCCCCAGGCCTCAAGGTATCCTGGGCAGGGAGTCTGAACCCAAGTGGGGACTTGGGCACACATGGATGATGCTCACATGATTGATGCTCAAAGGAGGCAGACAGCAAGGACGATGCCCTGTCCCCTTCCCAACGGAAGAGCACCTGTGTGGAGGACACGGGCTACTTGACAGAAGCAGGACTGGGCCAGGTGACCTCCTGGCCTAGGACTAAATGTGGGGTCATGGCAGGAAGCTGGTGAGGCCCTGAGGCAGAAGTCACCCACACCCTGAGCTCTCACCAAGGATAGCAAGACCCTACCTTTCTCTCTTCTGCACTGTGGAGCCTCCCAGGGATCAGCACATGGACTCTGGGCTCTCTAAGGTCAACTGGCCCAGTATTACCCCTCATGATTGTCCCAGTCCCATGAACTGCTGGCCTAAGATCAGATCTGTGTTTTCATGGTGAACAGGTGACCTCAGCCATCTCCTTTCCCCTCCCAGGGGGCTGTGTGGCCCTCAGTACACCTGGGTCCAGAGCCCTAACCTTCCCTACAGCTGCCCTTGGGTTCTGGTTTCTATGCTACAGGTGACTTCAAGGTATGGGTCACCTATGGGTGAGTGCCACGTGTCTGAGTCCCCATGGAGCACCCAAGTTCCCACCAACGCTCCTTTGAACAAAGTATCCTTCCTAGCTGCCCCCTGTGTCTGGACCATAAGGGCTCTGGATCACCCCTTCTCTGGGCATCTTCCAAAAGCTAGCAGTGTGCCAACCCCATGAGGATGGGTGTTTGCCAAGCCCCTCACACTAAGAAAGTTTGCTAGCTGCTCCCCAGCAGCAAGCAGGGCTTCCAAAGGTGGCACTGGGCCCTGCGTGGGCATAGCAGGAGGGCTGAGGGAGCTGGTGATCAACGTGCTAAACTGTCCCTTTCTAGGACATTTGTCCTAGAAAGTACAGGTTGGAGAAAAGAGGCAGTAGGCTGGGAGGGATGGAGGCTCCAGGTAGCCAAGAGAAGGGAGAATCCCCAGCAGCCCTTACATTCTACACACCACTTGGCTGATGGAGTCCCAGGCTAGGGGCACAGGATGCAGAGTGATGGAGGAGACATGGGCAGGGCTCCCTCTTGGCCTTCTGGAGCCCCCTGAAATGTCCAGCCCCCGCTCTGTTCACCCTATGCCACCAGGGCCACTGCCCTGCCCTCTGTGTGGCCTCACGCAAGCTGCAGGTGCTGGGGGTGCTCTAGGGAGCTATGTCTGAGCCAGGCTAGGGTTGGAGGGGAGGTGGCTCTGCTTAGACCGATTCATGGTTTCCACGAGCCCTGCAGGCTGGCAAGGCCCTAGAGGGTAAACACGTGTGTGTGGGCATCATGGCTCAGCCTCCCGCCCACCCAGTCACTTTTTCCTCTCTTCCTAATTCCAGGCTGGGCTGCTCCAGCCGTATGGCCCACTCATACTGGGAGGCTCCAAGGGGGCGTGGGGAGAAGGAGCCTTTCCCAAGGTGGAGTTTGGGGTGCCCTGTGTCTAGAACCAGGATCTGGAGTCTCAGGAAACTCATTTCTAAGGCCCAAGGCTGCTGAGTTTGGTGCCGAGCTGCTGAAGGCTGGTTATA